GGGATTGAGGCCAAGACACCTCTCCATCTGGACCGACCGTCAGGCCCGCTGAACTCCAGACCAGAGAGGGACAGAGCCCCGAGGGCCGCCAGAAGCGGCACCAGCAGTCTACACACCCGAGGGCCACCAGGACCCCCACAGATCGCAGTCAGCCCGCTACCAGATGGAGCCAAACCCCACCAGGACGACCCGGCCAAGAGCGCCCGCCCAACCGCCGACAGTGCCAGGAAGCACCGGGAGCGAGCCCCCACCACAGGAAAGGGGCCAGCCAGCCGGCCATGCACAGTCCCGGGCCGCCCCCAAGGACATCCACCCCATCCCCACTCCAGAAGAAATACTACACCCACCCCTCATTCGGACATCTCTCAAAACACATAGCACACTAGACACCTAGGCTGGGTCAAACTACCCCCTCCTAGGGGCCACTGGTCACGCCCCCAAACACCCAACCCCCCAGCCCATGACCCACAACCCACCAGCGAGCCGAAGGCCCCCGCCCAGAACCGGGCACCAGAGCGCAAGCCGGCCCAGAGCCCGGCAACCCGCCCGCCAGAGCCCAAGATCCCCGAACCCCACAGGCCCAAGCCCGGGGGCGACAAGCCCCCAGAACCCCAAGCCCCCGTGCCCACCCCGAACCCACATCAGCACAGCCAGGCTACCAGATCGGTGACCCACCACCCCCGCCCCAGACCCCCCGCGGGCCTGCATGCAGCCACCAGCAGACATCCCCCAGAACCACCCAGGCCCTCCCCAGAGGGAAAGCAGTGCCCCCCTGCCCAGGTACCCCCAAGAGCCCAGCCCCCGGCAACCCCCCCTAAGCACGGCAGTTTGTACAAGATCTGTTTCAAAAATTTCCAATTCCTAAAACGAAGAGACTTTGTAAAATGTTCATAGAAAACAAAATACAATGTAACATAAACATAATACAATAAAGATTTTAAATGCTTAAACTAAACGTGATCAACTTTCAGGAAAAAGTAAATGCTTCACAGAGGGAAATATGCCCCTGGAAGTGGAACAACTGTTTTTCAATGTGTGTCTGCCATCAAATTTAAAAGTACCTTGTTTTTGTCTTACAGCTTCTGTAAACTTTTGATGTTTATTATACAAGGATACAAGGATTTTTATTGTCATTCACATGACATGTGGTGGAACGAATCTATGTACACAGGGACCTATTTTCTCTTACATGCAATAATGCAACATTGATAGATCCTTCATGATAATTCTGGGGCGGGGTGAAAACGGGAGGGCAAAAAGGGCTTGATTTTGGATACATGAAATGATGGGTGGATTCTCATGGATTTGGGTAGAGATAAACGGACAGAAACTGGGTTAATGATTTTGGATATGGGTAGCAGAGGAAGGGACAGTGTTGAGGCCGTGTTCGACACAGGAGAGGTTGGGGGACCACTGGCTGGGATCTTTCTGACAGAGGATCCTCAGCCTGGCCTCAACCTCCTGGTTTGCCTTCTCCGTCTGGCCATCAGTCTGGGGATGAAAGCCAGAGGAGAGGCTAATGGAGACCCCCAGGAGGTCACAAAATTCTCTCTAGAACTTGGAGACAAACTGAGGTCCTCTGTCGGAAACAATATCTGTGGGCAGACTGTGCAGGTGAAAAACTTCACATGATATGATCCCAGCCAGGGTCTTGGCTGAGGGAAGCGGGACCAGGTGAACCATTTTACCATACCATACCACTTTATTTATAAAGCACTTAAAACAGCTACAAGGCCAACCAAAGTGCTGTACAGACAAAACAACAGGTAACACACCAAGCAAAATACAAAATGAGGTAAATCAGAATATAGACATAAAAATGATGCAGATAATGACGACAAACCAGTGTGGAGCATACAGGATCAAAACACAGATCATCTGGTGTTGAAAGCTACTGAATAGTAGTGAGTTTTTAAACGGGACTTGAAAACCGAGAGGGAGGGGGCCTGTCTGACAAACAGAGGTAACTCGTTCCAGAGTCTTGGTCCTGCTACAGAGAAGGCCCTGTCACCTCTGCGCTTAAGACGAGCTCCTGGAACTGTGAGGAGCAACTGGTCCGCTGACCTCAGGGAACGTGGTGGGACATACGGTTGTAGCAGATCAGAGAGATGGGGGGGGGGGGGGGGGCGCCGCTGTTCAGTGATTTGTAGACATACATGAGTATTTTGAACTGGATTCGAAAGTGAACCGGTAACCAGTGCAGTGAGGCCAAAACTGGTGTAATGTGCTCTCTTTTGCCTGTACTGGTTAAAAATCGGAAAACGGTCAACATCTGTCAGAATGACGATGTTGCCGGCAGAGGGAGGAAGACCAGTGATGAAGTCAAGACTGATGTGGGACCATGGGCGTGACGGGATGGGAAGTGGAAGGAGGAGACCAGAGGGGGGACGACGTGAGGACTTGGTTTGGGAACAGGCAGGGCAGGATAAAACAAAAGAGTGCACGTCCTGGTTTAATGTGGGCCACCAGAACTGTGCACAAACTAAAGAAACAGTTTTTAAAAAACCAGGATGGCAAACTAGGTGGGAGCTGTGGCAAAACTTGAGGACCTCCTGGACAAACTCAGGGGGTACAAATAATCGGTCAGGGGGACAGGCGGTTGGAGGGGGGTGCATCTGGTTGACCTGACGCAGGTCCAGCTCCAGTTGAGTGACGGCCAGGCATGCAGAGTTGGGAAGGATAAACTCCCCGGTAGGAGGAGGCGAGGAACAAGAATCCTCCTCCATGATATGAGAGAGGGCATCAGGTTTAGTGTTCTTGTGACCAGGTCTATAGGTGAGGGCAAAGTTAAAGCGGGAAAAAAAAGGGCCCACCTGGCTTGTCAAGGGTTGAGGCGTTTGGCCGACTTAAGGTACTCGAGGTTCTTATGGTCGGTCCAAACCTGGAATTGGAACTGGGCGCCCTCCAACCAGTGCCTCCACTCCTCCAGTGCCAGCTTAACAGCAAGCAGTTCACGTTCCCCGACATCGTAATTTTGCTCAGCTGGCGATAGGCTTCTGGAGAAGAAAGCACAATAACTCCTTCCTTATCTTGTTGACTAAGCACTGCTCCTACACCCACACTAGACACATCTACCTCAACGATAAATGGTACTTCTGCGTTGGGAGTATGGAGGACAGGGGCAGAAGAAAACAAAGTCTTTAATTCTTTAAATGCTGCACCAGCTGCCTCTGTCCATAGGAACTTTTTCTTGGAGGAGGTGAGAACATGGAGGGGGTTAGCAATGAGGCTATAGTCTTTAATAAATCTCCGGTAGAAATTAGCAAACCCCAAGAACCTCTGCAGTTGTTTCCGGACTTTGGGTACTGGCCAATCTAGTACTGCAGACACCTTGTCGTTACTCATTTCAACTAAATTGGATGAACTCATAAAACCAAGAAAAGATGTGGAGGACTGGTGGAAATCGCATTTTTCAGCTTTAACAAATAAATTATTTTGTAACAACTGGGTGAGAACAGATCTGACATGTTTCTTGTGTGAGATTAGGTCCTTGGAAAAAATTTAAATGTTGTCTAGGTAAACAAAAACAAAAATGATAACCATGTCCCTTAGGACATCATTGACCAGAGACTGGAGCACAGCTGGGACGTTGGTCAATCCAAAAGGCATGACCAAATATTCATAATGACCATTGGGTGCGTTGAAGGCCGTCTTCCACTATCTCCCTCACGTATGCGCACCAGATGGTATGCATTATGGAGGTCGAGCTTGGTAAAAGATCAAGCGCCTTGGATGAGGTCAAAGGCGGATGACATTAATGGAAGAGGGTATTTGTTTTTTTATGGTTATTTTGTTTAACCCTCTATAGTCTATGCAGGGTCTTAAGGATCCACCCTTCTTCCCCACAAAGAAGAAACCAGCACCTGCTGGAGAGGTAGAAGGCCTGATGATGCAGGCTTGAAGCGAGGTTTTGATGTACTCCTGCATGGCTTCTTGCTCAGGAGTAGACAGAGAGTACAGGGCCCTTTTCGGGGGAGTAGAACCAGGAACCAAGTCAATAGGGCAGTCATAAGACCTGTGCGATGGTAAAGAGGTGGCCTTGACTTTATTAAAAACCTCCTTCAAGTCAAGGTACTCCTCTGGAACCTTAGAAAGATCTGGATAAGTCTCTTTAATATTGTTCTTGGACATAGAGGGAATGACCGCATCAAAGAGACAAGATGACAGTTATCGGACCAACCCACAATCTCCTTCTGTTGAATATGTGGGTTGTGTTTTGAGAGCCATGTGGCCCCTAGGACTACAGGAGAGTGGGGTGATTTGATAATAAAAAACGGCAATGTCTCTTTGTGATTACCCCCTATGGTTAAAGTCACAGGTTCGGAGATTAAAGAGGAGTCATGAAGAGAGTGACCATCTAAGGCTATGGTGGACAGTGGTTTAGGGGATTTAAACAGTTTTATTCCTCATTCTTGGGCAAACTGAAGGTCCATGAACTCAGAGTCGGCCCCTGAGTCGATGAGTACTTTAATGGAGGTGCAGGTCTTACCAGAACTGGACAGCTCAGCTGGAAACGTGAAGGGTGAGGAGATTACTGGATTCTGAGTCTGACTCAGCAGGAGTCTCCTCTGCTGAGTCTGGCCTTTTAACGGACAGTTAGAGATGCTGTGAGAATCCTGGCCACAGTAGAAGCACAGCCTGTTCCGATGTCTCCTCTCACATTCCTCTGGAGTAAGATGGCTGCATCCAATCTGCATGGGTTCCTCTCGTGGTGGTGTCTCTTGTGGACGTGGTGGAGAGGGAGGTCCCAGGGGAAGTCGTCTGGGCGCCTTGAGGTTCTGCTGGATCTTTCAGTTTGTTCTCGGGACCTCTCCATCAAGAGCAGATCCAACCTTGTCGCCAAATCCTCCAGGTCCTGTAGTGAGTCCAGGTATCGCTTGGTTGCCAGTTTGTCCTTGATCTCCTTGTTAAGCCCTCGGTAGAAAACATCAGTTAGTGCCTCTTCATTCCATTTACTACCAGCAGCCGTAGCATGAAAATCTATAATGTACTCAGTTACTCTTTGTTTTCCCTGCTTCACTGAAAACAGTCTACGAGCAGCCTCTCTTTCTTAGAGGATGGGGTCAAAAACTCTGTACAGCTCTTTTGAAAACTCATGAAACGAGTAGCAGTACCTTGAATCCTTTTGCCATTCTGATGTTCCCAAGGACTTAGCTTTTCCTGACAGGAGGGACACGGTATACCCCACCTTAGCACGTTCAGAGGGGAAGGATGAGGGCTGGAGCTGAAAATGAATTTCACTGTGTTAGGAACGGGCGACACTGGTCCGGTGCCCCTGAAAACAGTTCTGGTGGAGCCAACCATGGCTCCCAGAGTGGGTTACTCATGGTTCCAGCATATGCGGGACTGCCGGCATGATTTGAGTCCTGAGGGTTAGAGTGAGGAGTTAAGAGTCTTAAGCATGTTCATGATCTCATTCATGCCAGTCTCTAATTTACCGATGGTACCTTCCACACAAGAGCGCCATTCTGAGCCCGATGTAGGATCCATGTTTAGCCAGATCAATTTGTCAGAGATCTGATGGCAGAGGATTCGACACACCAGACTCAGAAAGGTTTTTAAAATGTTTATTGAGTAAATAAACAGCTTCTGGTGTCTCAGATCCAGGGGCAGGAACTGTATCTAAAATGACACAGAGGGGAAAAGTTAGTGTTTGGCAGAATAACAAGTAGTTATCTGAATACAGACGGTCTGGTGAAACACTAACCTTTCTTGTTGTAACGGGATGCTCCAGCAGAGGTACAGAGCTGCAGAGACCAAGGGAAGTCCAGAGGCGTAGTTGAGGGTGAGCAGGGTTCATACACGAGATTTGAAGAGGACACAGTACTGATAGGGAGAGGCAAAGGCGAAATCCAAAAACAGGCATAGGTCGTCAACAAGGTCAGAAGGCTGAGGCACAAAGGGGACAAGCAAAAAGCGTGGTCGATGGAAAAAGGCGTGGATCAAGATTAAAGAGCTGAGAACAAAGAGTACGCTGGATAGCTGTGGCTGGAAGCAAGCAGTTGATCTGGCAACGTAGTGGAGAAAGCAGGAAGTATATATACACCCAGAAACAGGTGGAAACCATCAGCAGCAATCAGAGAGAGAGGTGTGGCATGTAAAGAGGCTGGCAGAAGCAGCAGAGGAAAAACTCAGGAAAGCAGAGAAGAAAAAGTCAAACAGTGAATAGAGTGATGAGAAAAAGGAGAAAACAGTGTAAACTGTGACAAAACTAAGAATACACTAAGCACTAATGGTACAAAAACAATGCACCAAAACAACAGCAACACGAACATGAGTCTGTGTGAGCAGATGAGGACTAATGAACACAGCAACATGAAATAATCAGCAGCATGAGATCAGAATCATGGATAGTCAGCAGCACACATCAACAACCAAGTGGCATTACAGTGATTTTGATTTTTCTGGTTAGAGATTCATGAGTCTAACAGCTTCAGGGTAGAAGCTGTTCCTCAGTCTAGTGGTTTTACACTTAATGCTCCTCAACCTCCTTCCTGAGGGGAGCGGGGCAAAACGTGTGTGTGCTGGGTGAGTGGGGTCCTTCATGATGCAGGTGGTCCTCTTCCTGCATCTACAGGTGTAGATGTCTGTGATGGTGGGGAAACTGACTCCAA